GTCTCCTCCACTCTGCTCAACCTTGCAAGCATTGGATTACACAACTAACACCCCTCTCCTCTTGTCCTCCTCCTCGGCAAGTGAAACTGCTGAATTTTGCTGTAGGGAAGGCTCCTTTTCCTATAGCAAAATTCAGCAGTTTCACTTGCCTCGGAGTCATACAATTTTGGTGGCACGTGCTGTCCCTATCTAAAAAGAAAATCCTTGGCACGCGGGCCTCAAATTTTCTTTTAGATAGGGACAGCACGTGCCACCAAAATCAGAGGACGGGGTGTTACATTTAGTACCATCTCTTACCATGTACTTCCAGTAGGATACTCTACTGCTATCTACGGTGCTGCTCTGAATTGGTGCTGATACGAGTCGCTGCTGATACGAGAGTTGCTGATACGAGTCACTGTTACGGAGGATGCTGATACGAGAGTTGCTGCTGATACGATTTGCTGTTATGGAGGATACTGATATGAGTTGCTAATAAGGAGGCTCACTGATACAGAGGATGATATGGAGGATGCTGATACGAGTCACTGATATGAGAGTTGCTGATACAGAGGATGCTGACACAGAGGCTTGCTGACACGAAGGAGGATGTTGATACAGAGGCTTGCTGAAATGAAGGAGGATGCTGATATGAGTTGCTGATACAAGTTGCTGATACCAGTACGCTGATACGGAGGACGCTGATACAGAGGATGCTGATACAAGTTGCTGATACAAGTACACTGAGGACGCTGATATGAGGATGCTGATACAATGACGCTGATACAATGACGCTGATATGGAGGATGCTGATACAAGTTGCTGATACGAGTACGCTGATAGGAGGATGCTGATAGGAGGACGCTGATAGGAGGGTGCTGATAGGAGGACGCTGATAGGAGGGTGCTGATAGGAGGACGCTGATAGGAGGACGCTGATAGGAGGACGCTGATAGGAGGACGCTGATAGGAGGACGCTGATAGGAGGACGCTGATAGGAGGATGTTGATATGAGGACGCTGATATGAGGACACTGATACAAGGACGCTGATACAAGGACGCTGATACGGACTGGACAACAACACTGATACGGATGACAACACTGATACAGAGGATGCTGATAAGGAGGACAATGCTGACACGGAGGACACTTACAGTTCTTCAAAGGAGGCCTCCTATTCCCATGGTCAAGCCTTTGAAAGTGAGCTTGCTAGATTGAAATAATGAATATTGCAGCTGCAGCAGTTTTGCAAGTGAAATCCAAAAAAAGCAGCAAGTCATAGTAGAATGTAGTACAGATTCTACTGAATGATGCATTTTAAAAGTGGTACTTTGGTACCATCTTGTACCAGGCCTACGTAATTCACGTAGCAGTACAGGTTTTTTGTTGGTACCAACTTGTACCAGGCCTACGTAAATCACGTAGCGATACACCAGGTTTTTTGTTGTCCCCCCTGGAAAAGCAGCAACAAACAGCAAACGCCGATCACTGGCAAGGGTCTCCTCCACTCTGCTCAACCTTGCAAGCATTGGATTACACAACTAACACCCCTCTCCTCTTGTCCTCCTCCTCGGCAAGTGAAACTGCTGAATATTGCTGTAGGAAACAAGGCTCCTTTTCCTACAGCAAAATTCAGCAGTTTCACTTGCCTTGGAGTCATACAATTTTGGTGGCACGTGCTGTCCCTATCTAAAAAGAAAATCCTTGGCGCACATGCCACCAAAATCAGAGGACGAGGTGTTACTTTTAGTACCATCTTGTACCAGGTCTATGTAAATCACATAGCGATACAGGATACAGGTTTTTTGTCGTCCCTACGGTTTTTTTGTCGTCCCCCCAAGAAGCAGCAACAAACAGCAGTCGACAATGGGAAAACAAGGGTCTCCTCCACTCCGCTCAACCTCGCAAGCATTGGATTACACAACTAACACCCATATCCTCTTGCTGTCCTCCTCCTCGGCAAGTGAGCTGCTGAATTTTGCTGTAGTAGGAGGCTCCTTCTTTTCCTCGGCCACAAGGGCCTCGGAAAAGGTGCCTCCTACAGCAAAATTCAGCAGCTCACTTGCCTCGGAGTCGTACAATTTTGGTGGCACATGCTGTCCCTATCTAAAAAGAAAATCCTTGGCACGCGCACCTTGAATTTTCTTTTAGATAGGGACAGCACGTGCCACCAAAATCAGAGGACGTGGTGTTACTTTTAGTACCGTACTATATGTAAGAACCGTTTGAGAATCTCAAGAAATTAGGGGGGACCATACACAGAAAATAGAAAAGGACCCTTTTTTGCTCATAATACTTCTTTCGAAAAGATTCGCCATGACTTTCTCGTTGTAGAGTGGACGGAACGCGATGGTTTGATTGGCTTGTGCTATGATTTTAGGGAGTGCGCGCGCTCTGTAGCCAAGCCTGGCTCGTCAAAAAGACTGATTGTAACACGAATCATCATCCTACGCATTGGAAGTTTCTAGTCGAGGCAGGTACCGTACGTACGAGTACCATACCGTACCGTACGGTGAAAAAAAAGACCTGCTCAGCTGCTTCCTAATCAACAGCGTGCGAAGTAAGCAGAAGTAGGAAAAGAAGTAAAACCTTTGCACGCAAACAAGTGCCTTGCTGCATTGACTCAACTTTCCAAAATATTTCTCTTTTGAAGGATATATTTGGTGAGAGATAAAGCAACGACGGCATTCCAAGCAGGCACCTTGTTGAGAGAGAATCAGAGGTTGGTCCTACATTCCTCTGGATGGGTCGGCGCGTTTTGACTGAGGAACTCTGAAGAAGTGTTCGTGAAATAATCAATACTCGGCACCTTATTTTTGCATCAAGAACAAAGAAGCACTACTCAATAGCTCGAAGCCGTAATCTTAATTTCAACCATATCGTGTCTTCAACATGGGTAACCAACCGTCGTCGTCGTCGAAGAGGCGCAGCAGCAGGAAACCTCAGACTGCGGCTGAGCATGCCGCAGAACGTGCCAAAAGAGTGGTTGGAGATCTACAGGAGGGAATAAAAAATTCGGTTAAAAAACTGGACGACGATCATCCAGCTGCCCAAATCCTTGACCACGTCTGCGGTACCTATTATCACGACGAGGACAAATATCGGAGCTCTCGTGTTGCGTCCTACTACAGCGAGGAAGCCTCTGAAGACGGTTCTCGAACATTCCAATCCGAGGATGACACAACGTATGACGGACGTCGAGGTCGGAGGTCAGATAGATCTGTAGATTCTCGGTCATACGTGACCCAGTCTGACTATGATTCAGACTCAAGGCGACGAGGGCGAGGCGGAAGTTTTGATACTGAAGATGAATCTAGGGTCACCCATGAGAACGAACCAAAACTGATTTCGAAGCCTTTGGCTAGTAGCTTCGCCAAAAGATGCTACTTTACAAAATCTGGTATCGGAAAGACAACACAACATTATGAGGGGCTTACACTCACGGGTAATGTTGTCTTGATGCTTGCTTCCGCCATGAAACTGAAGGGCTGCCCCACAATTTGTGACGAGGATTTGCGACGTGTAGAGCAAACCTATCCAAACCAGTTCAGTCGACTTCCGGATGAGTTACTTCTTAGCAGTGGATGGCGGAGGATAAGCAAATACTGTCACTTTTCGAACAAATCGATACCGGATGGGATACCCTTTTTTCGTAAGTTTATCAAAGAAATCGGATTGAACCATCGTAAACAGCGTTCTCTTCGAATGTCAGGATGACTGATATCACATTTTTTTAATATATCGCCACTCCAAGATTCAAAGCAACGGTTGCATCCATCAGGTGGATACTACTTTTTACTTGCTGCATCTGTCGGAATGATACGTCCGATTGATGTAGAGCCTCTTACAAAAGATACACTGGTGTTGCTGGAGACTGATTACCCAAATCAATGCGATGCGACTCCTAGCATCCTGATCAGGGATCCAGACCAATGGGTTGTTGTTAACAAATTTTGCTTCTTCTCTGGTGGACCGATCAATACTGAGGAAGATGTTTACTATCAGGCCGACTTCGATGGGAATCCTATTTATATGCTTGCGTTTTTGTCACCTTCGCTCACTCCGGAAGAATTGTATAAACTTACTGATGTTGGCACAGAACACGAGCCGGGCTTGAAATCAATAGCCGATGTTCAGGAAGTTGAATCTGTTTATGATCTCACCGAACGAGATTTTGATGATTTAAAGTTGTATCATTTGGGGCCGTGTCGTGCCTTACCTCAGTATATATTACAACCATCTGCGTGGACCAAAGTTCTTCCACCCCATTTTTTGGCCGCCAGACAACAAGCGATGCTCAGAGCTCAAGACTACAATGCTGACCACTACAGGGAACAAGTGGCAGACCAACATAATGACGTGTATGACCAAGGTCTTCTACCAATAGGGGAGTCGAATCAAATTCATGCCCCGTCAGCTGTTCCTGGCATCGCAGAACATCCATTCGTTGAAGCCCGAGAGGCATCTGCCTTTGAAGAGGAAACAATGAATCTAACTGCTGGTCAAACAACTTTTGTACGCGAGGCGGAAGAAGAGGGGGCATTCCACAGCATGCATTCGTAAGTGCAGATCTATGATTTTTCCTACTATCTTTGTTTCATTACGTTAGTTTCAGGAAATGGATTGCGGAGATTATCTAACTTTTAACTTTTTTCAGTGGCGAAAACCACGCTTTTGTGATAAATCAAGGAGAGTCTTCTGTCCCTGTTGACCTTTCTGACCAACTCGGAGATCGGCCGTTTGAAGAGGAAGAGCCTACTATTGCTGGCTTTTCACGAATGGATCCTCCAGACGACGAACCCCCAAGCCTGAAGATAGGATCAATGGAAGAGAATCAACACGCTAGCCCTCGTTATGGTACTGACCGTCACAAAAATGACGCATCATCACCTTCTATAAAGCCAGACATTGATGAGCATGGCTTTTTTACGTTGGATCCTCGTCTCAACCATGATCAAAATAACATCGTCGAAGAGGAGGATTCATGTAATCAGTATGTTTCTCCAGTTTCTGAATCGCTCAACAACCAAGATCGACAGTTCGATTCCGCAGAAAATGAAGAAACTCCTCAGGGATTTCGCTCTCCTGGAGGGAATCTTTATTTTGAAGACGAAGGAATGCTACCTAGCAACCGTCACACACAAGAGCCGTTTCAATCGACAAACTATATTGACGAATATCAAGATGCAGCCGGAGTTGGAATGAATCATGTAGAAGGGCCACCTCGAGTTGAGGATGGCTTTGAAGAATCACACGAAATCGATGACACTACGGAAGTATACCAGCAAGATATGGAGCGCACCAGTATAAACAATAATGAACTTCCCTACGATTCTCGATTTATTGACTCCGATTTGCCGCAGGTGTTGTCAAACGCAAACGAAGAGAAACCAATTCAAATTGGAAAAGACCCCGTAGGCTCAGATTTAATTAACTCAGGAGATGTATGTGAAGAGGATCCAGAGATATCATGTGCAAGTGATAAGCCAGGTGATGAGTTTGTTGATCCAATTGATACTTCGTTTTCAAGGCAAGATGAACTTGACAACAGCGCCTTGGCTTCCACTTCATCACCAGCTGGAATGTCAACGAACTCTGGAGTGGACACTCGAAATCATCAATCGCCAGCTATGCGTGGAGCCCATGCGATCTTGAAGCGGAACAGGCGGAGAAGGGCTGAATCGTAAGTTTTGTTCTTTGTCGTGTATTATTGATCATGTTACAAATGATGGCTAACAAATGTTTGCTTTGTATTTTAGTAATAGGTCATCCACTGGAAAGGTCAGCAACAATAATACAATGATATCACCAGCAATGAGCGAGAAGCTGACATCTACGAAATCAGACACGAGTAAAGATATGTGGGATGAGAATGGAACAGATATTACAGGTTCTGGTGTATCAGTTTCCTCAGGTGTGACCGACAAAAGTTCTCGAAGACAATTAATTCTTCAAATGGCGAAAGCAAGAATGAAAAACAATAGGGATTCGCCTTCCAAAAGTCCATCAGGCATCAATGAGGATGATGACGGGGCTAATACAATCGTTACGGAAGGGAACGCAACTTTTGCAACTCATGACTTCGATTTGACCGGTGACCTTGATTGATGCATACAAGATAAGAGTTTGATATGATGTGCGTGTGCATGTTATCTTGCTGACAATTTATCACATTGAAGATATTATCTGTAGATGATAATTTTTTTATTTGTCCTAAAAATAGCTCTATGTTTAGTATTTACTGATGTGCAGGCAGGGTGACCCCCTTTTTCATGCTCAATTAAATGGTACAAGAAAGAAAGGTACTCAGTGGATTAACAGCATTCCAGCTACTATCTTCAGATTTGGGAGCATCTTCAAAGAATAGTTAATTTTTAGCAACGAATGTGATATTTTTCATATGAAAAATCAGAGGCACTAGTACTAGGAAAGTCAGAACTATTACTGCCTGGGCAAGTAATGTTCCTATTTGCACCTACTAGGGGTGTCAGTTCAGTACAGAGGTGCCACTGGGGTGTGCTTACAGAATTATTGGAAGGATTTGGTCGGCATTCTTGACGGGCATTGGTACAAATAATAGAAGAGGCAAGTAATGAAAATAAAATCTGAATATTAAATTTAACCTTATGAACTCAGAGGGGTGCTACAACAACCGGAGCAAGAAATCCAGGAGATGAATGCCCCTCAGTCACCCCAAGGGGCAGTACCCCCCTCCAAGGAGTTTTGGTTGAGGCAAAATTGGGAAAATCTTGGTAGGCTAAAGTTAGAAAAAAATATGTCAATTTAGTCTGGAGTAGTCAGGTAGGATCAATGGGAGAGACAAAGACTTGTTTGGCAGTTGTGCTTGCTTGTGGTGTTTCTTCTTGGAGTATGTGTCAAAAATTAGCCTATCTTGTTGTGTAACGCTCTCCAGGGCTGTTTACTGGTAAAATTCCAGGTGCTTGGCTGTGTGCTGCAAACTGAGGTACTAGATGTAGCAATATGCACCACCATGCTAGACGGTKGTCTCATACTATTGTATAGGCTTGGCCAGCCAATACTATACAATACAGTTGTACATTTTGGGCTATCTTTTTCCAAAGCAAAATATGTCAGATGTGCCAATAGACGTCATGAAATCGTGTCCAACTACACCATTTTTTCTATGGAATTTTTGTCTCGATGACAATTGACACTTCCATTGTTGATGAACACATTTACCTAAAATACCATCCAATGTTGCACCAATTCTGCTTCATGATGTTGGTAGAAACAAGGCAACTGATTGTCAATTGTCAGACACAGAGGAGTCCTCACCACCACCTGCTAGAGCTACCATGATGCCAGTGGATGCGCATCTCATTCTGACAACTGACAGCAAATCACCACCCCCTTGCCAGCACCATTAGCGGCATCACTAATAAGCAACAGTTTTTCCTCAGTAGCAGCACTAATCAGTAACAGTTTTCCCCCAGCAACAGTTCTAGTTTCCATAACACTAACCAGCTTTTGACCCCAGCTGCAGTGACAACTCAAGGGGGAATCAATGAATCAATGAATCAATGTATCAATGTATCAATGAATCAACAAAATTATCAACACTATCAGCACTATCAACAACAGCAACAAATTGACGACTCCCATCAACATGCTGTCTGTGAAATATAATACTGTGGGTATGATTCATATCTATTGTACATACATATGGCAAATATCTATGATTCATACACACTCTACATTCACAACTCCTCATTTGGTCCTAGTATGGATCCCCATGATTGACTTTGACTCATTCAATTCACACACATCACTCAATCCTCATTTTGATCAATCTTTGATTTCATAGTTTGCCAATCTTTGATAAGAGCATCAACTCACTTTTCTTTTAGCACTCAATTTACATCACTTCTATTAGATAGTCACTCCCACATTCCAATAAAAATCATCACAACCATGAACATTTTTAGGTGTGCTCTCTCCCCACACAACTCTACCACATACAATCACCCACAAGCCTTTGTACAACCAAACCGTGAACCCACATACACAACAATGGTCACCTCTCACATGTCAACAATCAATGACTGGCAAAAAATTCCTATTTCATTGCTTCATCATAATCACCATTCTTGTTGATATTCCAGGACTTGCCCAATCCCATCGAAATCTAAAACCTTTATAAGACACACCTTCTTATTTTTTGAAACACATTTGGTACACTTTCAACTCACATTAAATCCCACATTCAAGTGTATACTAGGCATTTTTATTCCCACAAGTCAAGAAAACTGCAGCCATTTCAATTTAATTTGACACAAAAGACCACCACACGCTGCCGTAAAGATTCCCACATTGATAATTTTGAAGCTTCTCATGAAAACCATTTTTTTTTACAACAACAATGGTAAATCATCTTTATAACCAACACTCAGCACCATCTCATAAAACATTTTTTTCACTAGTCAAAACATCTTTCATTTCCCTTAACTGTCTCTTCAGTCTTGACATGAAAAATCTACATCTCTTTCTCATCATGGCTCAAACTCCAACCCCAAGAGCTGGCACAAATACCCGCACCTTCCTCCCTGAGGTATCCTATGTTGACATCATTTTCCACGACCATCAACTTCATCTGAGCTTAAGCAATGAGATGAACCTTGTGTACGGCTTGACTTTTGATTTGACAATAATTGACAAGCTTACCAGCAATATTAAGAGTAATGCCCTCAATACTGCAGAGATTAATTGTATCAACAGCAATATCATCAACAACAAGACTAAACTGATGGGAACATCAACAAACAGTCAATCAGACCCTTTAACAATGATGCAAACATCCCCAACCATTGGCTTGAATTTGTTCATAAGTCTCAAGTCAAAGACACCCTCATTCTCAAAGTTAATTGGTCATCTGTTTATGTCAACACAAACAGCATCTCTTACGATGTCCACAACTACTATCTTTGTGCAGATGCCATTCCCTTCTCCTATCCATGCAAACATCCCCACTACAAATAATCAGACAAATCCCCCATCTGTCGACCCCAACATCCTCAGTCTCTTCTTTGCTGACAATCAAAACATGATGCAACAACAGGTTCAAATCATTCAGCACCTTGCACCCAAGAACAAGACTTAAAGTCTAACCACCACTCCCTTTGTCCCCATGAACTACTTGGCTGACGTTGAAGATTCCTACAAACTCAACATGACCCAGTACAAGTATCATACTGTAAACAGCCTCTCTGGCATCATGGACATGTCTGCTGTTCCACCTACACTTTGTCGCCTGTTTTTGTACCAAGTGTAATCACCCACAAGGATTCACACTAGCCACTACTCATTGCGTCTCCATCAATGTTGGTTACAACTTAGCCTATCCAGGGAAACCTCTCTCTGATGGAATATTGGAAGAAATACAATCATTACATCATGTGTCGGGCTCTAATCAAAAATGTAACACAAACTGTTCATGACAAAAATGTACGTGAATACTTAGCAAATGGATGCAAACATTTCTCATTCCTTGAAACAGAAATACGTTACAAAAATGATTTTACCTATCTATCTTGAACACAAATTCATACCATCCAATTTTGTTGCTGCCCTTCAACAATACTTGAGTTTCCCCAACGGTCCAACATAGATACTAACACCTGTTGTTTGAACACCAACAAGAAAATACAACTCATATCTACTCACATACAAGAGACCTGATAACATTCTAAAGCCTATCTCTGTCAACCAAATTCAGATCACTGAAGCCAATGAAGAAAACCTAAGCTTTGCCTACTCAATGTCTATCCATCAAATAAAAGCAGACCTGGCATTATTGAACCGTTTGTGCCTTGTCTGCAAAATTATGACAGGTACAACTTTGTTGCATGCTTTCAAAAATTGTCCACATCTTTGCCTATCAGACCTACTCAGTCAAAATTTCATCAACTTCAGTCAAATGTACAAAAGAACACAAAATACATTGGCAAAGGCAAATAAAACAGTCAACCTTGTCCATATGGAAACAGAAGAAATGCAGATGATTGTTGACAACACATTCCCAGTTGATGTGTTGACTGACAAAGGACAGAACAAGATGGATTTTATGTAGGGCAGACCACAAAATGGGAAACTTCAAGCCCACCCTCATCTCCATCTACAACCACCCCAGTCCTTCATATGCTTAATGCTTGACATATAATGCATATGCAATTCATTTCATCCATCATCATTCACCAAGACTTGACAAAACCTCAAATGTCAACCAACATCAGTACTATACCTGAATATCAACATGTTAACTTTTCACCAAAACCTTAAAAAGGACCTGACACTCCCTACCGTCCTTCACCAAAATCAACAATAGAAGTCATCAATGTCAACTTCCTAAAAGATATATCGGCTACACCAAAATATCCACAACAAATATTTCCTCCACCATATGGGCACAGATTGACACAGGAGCTGACCTTATCTATACCAATCTCATTGAAATCCTTCAAAATTATATACCTTACAGCAAAGAATTTCCATGTCAGACGAGCTCTCAATTCCACAGATGGTGTATACCCTCGTGGTGAATGCTACTACATTTGTGTTCCAGCTGTCAACACCAAATTATACATTCAAATTTGTTGTGTTTAGCTGCCAACTTTGTCATTGACACTCATCTCTGAAGACGACATCATTCAATCAGAGACACGACTACAAATTTGTGACTACACTATTGCTATATACAAATTCTATTATTCCAATACCATCATGATTCAATGTACATGCAATAAGGATGCAACCAAATCAATCATACTACACAGCATCATTTCATTTGGAAAATCCTACCTCAACCATTGATTACTATGCCTGATCTACTTCCACATCATCCTTGAGCAACTACATACAACTCCCTTGAGAAAGGCCAGAAAGAAGATGAAAAATTGCTAAGAATTGCTTCACTGTTACCGTCAACAAAATAAATGCATACCAAATGTGCACATAAGCACATTGAAAATTAAATGAACCACTTACTGTCAGAACCTCCACAATACTCAATGGTGACTGGATATTTGAAGCTACTCTGCTTTATGTCCTCAAGGCTCAAATGAAGCGACTACTCTGACATCAACAATCAGGTCACATTAGTGATGAATATCTATATTATGCTCATTAATTTATTGACGGTGTGCCAAAATTTAAACACAATGTCCCAATCTTGGATTTATGCCCTACGTGCATTCAATCCAAAGAAACAAAAACACCAACTGGTGACAATACAACACAATCTACTACCATTCCATATCAAGGACTTTTAATGGACTTTTCTTTCAGTGGAACAAAATCTAAAAATGCTTCAAACAAAACAACCCAGTATTTTTCACATCTGCCTCATAGTAAACAACCACCACAGAGTGTCACACAAGATGGGCTGGTCGTTGGCACATGCTCCAAGAAGAAGCAACACAAACAACCCAACCAGCATCACCAGGGACTTCCCTGGCCTCAATGACACCTCAGAGAATCCAGACAACTTTGCATCACTTTTACAAATAATTACACAGCCAACTCCCTCCCCCCCGTTGTGCTTCCACCAAAACTCCTTGGAGGGAAGTGCCGCCCCTTGGTGCAACTAGCAGCATAGTAGCTCATCCCCAAGGCTATGGTTCTGGCCACATAGTACCTTTTCTAGTTCACGAGGTTTTACTAATAATATATATTAGTAAAAACTATATTCTGCAATGCAATACTACTATTTACATGTTCTGATGAAAAATCAATGCAACCTAGATATAAACAATGTTGACTACTACTACTATGATACTAGTAGAGGGTCATTTGACACCCAATTTGTGTGTCAGCACCATAAAAGCAGTTTATTTCATGAGTAGTACTTTTTGGTGCAGATGGGTTCTAGTACCAGTCATCTAAAGATGGGACCAGTGGCTATAGAAAGCTAAGACTTAGATCTTTATCAGGATATTCTTATTGTACTTATTGAGAAGGTTCCTGTGCATTCATTGTTGGTGGCAAGTAAAAGCAAAAAACTGCTTGGGTGCATGTAGTTTTGATGTGGGTTTTTCAATTTTTGAGCTGGAGACGAGTGCTGAGAGGGAAAAATTTGGGAAGATATTGTGCATTGTGCATAGAACAAACATGCCCACCATGTTATTTTCAAGTGGTAATTTCACTCTTGATTTCATTGCCCCTCCTGATTTCCTCATTTCATTCTCTTTTTTCTCATTCTTGAATGGTTTGACAGTAAAACTGTTATATGGCCTTTTTGTTGTAAAACAACCAGCCAAAAGAAGAACATCTGTGAACCACCCTAAAGGAACACTAGTGACAAAGCCACAGAACGTTCACAGTGGAGTGTACAAGGAAATGTTGCTTGATGAGGTACTCCCTGTAATCCATGAGAAGTGGCCAAGGGGATCTAGTCCTAATCCTCTGGAGATTTTCATTCAGGATGATACTAATGTGAAGCCTCATAGGGTTTCTAGTATCACCAGGAATGGTGTGAGAGCAGCTGCACCAGCTAGCAAAGGCTGCAACATTCTTTATGTGAACACTCAACCACCAAACAGTCCAGACTTGAATGTACTTGACCTTGGATTGAAGCAATCAAAGGATATTGATCATTTGATTGTCAATGTGGAAGAAGCTTTCAATGAATCCAAACATGAGACCCCAAATAATGTGTTTTTGTTGCTTCAGCAGGCTTCTATGGAAGCTTCTCTTTCTTGGGTTAAGGGTGACAACCATTAAATCTGCCTTTTATGGAAAAAGCAACAAGTCTGTTGGGTAGAGAATGCCTCCCAGCAACTTCAATTATTTTCAATCCTGCTTGCATCATTGAGGGATGTGGAGTCCTTCTTGCTCCAGCTGGACAAGAGGAGGCCCAGCAGCAAGCCACCAGGACTAAAGAAGCAGCTCAATAGTAGTAGTAGTAGTAGTAGTAGTAGTAGTAGTACTAGAATTGTTACTAGAATTATATTAAATATAGGAGTAATCCTGGTAGTGATAAGAAATTAATGGTGGTACTATTCCTGCACAATCCTACAGTGGTGGCTATGTTAGGGATAATCATTCATGGATGGCAAAAAAGATCACATTGGACGGTCATAGATGGGCGGAGGAAAAGTTCACAAGGTTACTGCATGATTTTTTTCTCTTTTCAGACAGACTGTAGGAACTTTACATATGCTTGAACACATTACTACTACGCGTTGCAGATCAATTGAAACTACATTTCACAGGGCTTTCGGAATGTTAAAGTTCCAAATTTTAAATTAACATTCCGAATATTACTAGCAGCGTAGGCTATGTTGCAAGAAATGAGTACTGTTGTTTTTGCTGCAATTTAACGTCCTGAATGCTCTGCTTAACAGTCTGAAAGGTAGCAGGGGAGGCGTCCTCTTCTTCCTCTTTTTTAGATCCCTTTTTTTTTTGGGTGCAAGACTGAATGAAGAATGTGGATAATACTAGGATCCACTACGTAGGCCCATGTGAAAAATTTATTATCCTGCAGGTTAAAAAAACATTGAGAACTTTATTTCTAACGTTCAGAACCCCTGTGAAACGTACCGGTAGTTTCAATTGACCCGCAAAGCGTAGTACGTACCTCTTTCGCGCGAAACTCGGTGAGTCGTAGCTGCACGATACTCGTAGTCGTAGTAGCATGTAACGGTAGGGCATTAAATTATATTACTTACAAGTACTTGGTACGTACCGTACTTCGTAAAGTAATTACTACTACTACTATTACTGTAATCAATGCAGCAGATCAGAGTACTACGAGTGACCGTGCGGTAGCGTAGTACCGAACGTAATAGCGTTTGTATTTCGAGTATGATTATGTACGTACTACTAGTACTATTTTTCGTACTTGTACGTACCCTGGTACTTACTCTGGTCGGTTAATGTAAAAATTTTCAATGGACGTATGGGCGGGCAGACCGCGCCAGATTTTTTTAAAATTTCTCATGCGGCAATGTCTCGGCACAGTGTGTCGGCCAGCTCTCTTTTTGAATCTAGTCCGAAATGACAAGTTCCCTAGCTTGGTGCGCAAGCGCCCTAAGGACGCGGTCTCAAACAAACTCTTCCGCACACATATAATCCATCATAACACCGAAAAATCATATCATCGTTGGAAGCAAACATCACGCCCTGTCTATCACCTTGTTCGCGTTAAAACTGCTTGCTGGTAACTCAACTCTTGACGTATCACTAGCAGCAGAACAGATCCTTCCTTGACGACCGTCGGTGTAAACATGGTGCAAGTCGCTGTTCAGGATTCGAAGACGTCGTCGTCTTCGTCTCCTCTACCCAACCCAAATGTAGCTGCAACTGTAAATGCCGGAGGCGATTTATTTTCGCCGACCTCAGCTGCGGCTTGGGCACTTTCAACACTGCATAACTTCGGTGCGGCTGTCCCAAACGAGAATGGAGGACCGCGTCCAACCGCGGACTCATTAACAGGCACTCGTCTCTTCAACAACTCTGGCGTAACCAATGCTGATTCGGCTAGACCTCATATTACCACTTCAGCATCAAACCATAAGAATACTTCTGCCACCGGAGGAACGACATCCAATACTCAATCAACAAGTGGCGTAACTTGGGGTCGACCTCAATTCCAACATTCCAACCATGTAAGTACGACACAGCCACCATCACCGACTGAAGATGATGTCTTCGTTTTGTCATCTCCACAACCATCTTCTGAAGACCCATCATCTTACCAAACAGTCTCCTGATTATTGCGACTTTTCTTGGTCTCTTCTTGGTGATGTTTGGTAAAGTCAACATTTGTCGATCCATCCCCTCTTCTTATGCGCACTAGTGAAATCCAAGTCGGATCTGTCAATCGAGAGAAACCGCTTGCTCGAATGATGAACTCTACTAGCATGGTCACCCCTACCCCCAAGAAGCTGAAGGTCAGTGACACAGGTTCTGCCACGTATTCAAGAAAAAAGAAGAGTCTCGGTGTATTAGCAGAGAATTTCATCAATCATTACGCGAAGTATCCACCAGGAGCTGTCGTCATCGTGGATCACGCGGCAGTTGATCTTGGAGTAGAACGTCGAAGAATTTACGATGTGGTCAACATTCTTGAATCTGTCAATTTAGTAGAAAAGAAACAGAAAAATACCTATTCGTGGATGGGGATGGACCACTTTGATGACTTTTTCGGTAAACTCCAGGCCAAAGCAGTTATGGAGTACCCTGAGGATGCGAAGCGCTACCTTGATAATACGATTCCCCTTGATGATTTATCAAAGACCCGCAAGACGAAAGAGAACAAATCCCTCGCGAAGTTGAGCGAGGAATTCTTGCAAGTTTTCCTCGTTGGGTTCGAGACACTGTCACTCCCTGAGGCTTCAGACAAGATCCAAGGCACAACCTCTATGGAAGAACTTATCGCCATGGGTGGCGGTGCACGCGGAAAATCCACAGTAGTGGGTGCTATTCCAGATGCGCGAGAGCTCAAGGCAGCAGCGGCGCGTGGACTGAAGACAAAAATTCGCCGTCTCTATGATATCGCAAATGTATTTCTCAGTGTCGGTCTTCTGAAAAAAGTTGAAAATATTGATACATCTCGACGACCGAACTTCTCTTGGAATTACAAGCTAAGCGCAAAGGACTTGTACGATCGGCACAAGAGGAAGACGAGGTCATTGACCGAATCGCATGATCCAACTCCTGACAGCCTTTCCTCTTCCTCTCAAAATCTGACGAAAGAGTTTTCCATCTGATACACTTCGTGTCATATGTCTCTACAAGTTTTGAAGTTCGCTATAGGAAACTTCACTCAAGCGTCTCCAATAATATTGGAATGCACTAGTCGTAAAAACCTTTTTGTTGTACTTCCTCGGGCACACTAAGTGTCATAACAACCTTCGTTACTGTTTTGGATTTAGAACAATTAATACCGGAGACACATTTTACAACTGCCACTATTACCCTACTGATTGCCAGCGCGACCAAGATTGTTTGGTTACCTAAGATAAGGCGGGATCTTTATTCACCCCATTCGATGGCCTAACATCAACCGGCTTGTCATTGAGATCCGGTAGCATTCTTTACTGATGATGCAGCAGCTTAAGATTATTGTCGTTTCCAATTGTGACTGATGCTCCCACTACTGTTTGAAGCAACTCGAAAAAAAATATTGTAAAAGTGCAACTTATTTTTTGTTGGAAGGCGCCACTCCCTGACGGGACCACAATTAATGGAAGTATAGAAGCGGATATGCAACAAACCAAGGAATGGAGGCGCTTGTGGATGTCTCATTGAATTATGGATCATGGTAACGGAGGTAATAGACACAGACCCCAAGCCAATGTCGAGACGCAAGCTCCAACTTATAGCTTCCTGGTACTAGAGTGGAGGGAGTGAAGGTTCCAATCAATGGGTCCCCTATCAGTGGGGGCTGATGCACACCAGGGAAAAAAAGATGCCCCTGTCGGCTAGAGGCACTAGAGGTCAATCTCCTTTTCTTCGAAATCTAGGGCGAGTGAAAAACTCCATGGTTTGGACTATTCGTCAGTGAGAGATCGTCCGTCAGAGTCACTAATAAAGACAAGAGTTTCCATGTTAGTGCAGCGAGTAAAAGTGGAGCTGTGAATGAAATCTAGGGCGAGTGAAAAAATCCATGGTTTGGGCTGTCGTCAATGAGAGATCATCCGTCAGTGTCAGTGATAACGACAAGAGTTCCATGTTAGTGCAGAAAGTAAAAGTGGAAATGTCAATTAAGTCTTCTCCACCGTACAAGCAACAACGAAAACAATGTCAATTACACATTCGTAAAATTGATCAGTGATTAAGCAAATCATGTCTTCTGCACCCGCTTAAGCTCGATCTTGATACATTATGAGAGAAGTATGTCACGGGAAATAAACTTATGGAAGCGAAAAGGTGAGCATTGTGTGTACAGAAAGAGAGTCAAGAAAACCGCCGCATAGCAATTTCCTTCTAAAAGTAAAATAAGTCGTAACTCAAGATAACAAGCACATAAAAATTCAAGTGATGCAAAAAAAATGTAAGCGGACCACTCTGTCACTTCTCTACTCATCAAATATAGTTACACAGGGGTAGTTGAGCATACAAAATTTTCTTCCCATTTAAAAAATCAAAAGCAAGAGAAAGGACAGTATTGCGAACCAACCAGTTAAAAATTCAATTGCCACTATGAAAATTTTATAGTGGCCACTAATTCACTTTACAAAAATCAAGATATGGTCGAGTGTTTTCCATTTTACACCATTGATTTTTTGACATGGACGAAATCATTTTCAACAATGCTCCTCTTGAACCTCGAATGGATCTCTTGAATATTTTCTTACAAATCATTCCTTTTCCGAAAATTCTCTTTGTCTCTCAGAGGAATGAAATTTGATATCATTCTTAAGCAACATTTCATAGTCGTTTATGCGACTTTGACCATTTCAAGATAATTGATACACCCGCTTCGGTTATCCTACCATCTCCACCCAATCTCTCATTCAAGGCTAGTCGATAATTCTTCACTGGTGAATGAGCTTTCCTAATTGAGTCCAAAATCAACCTCCTTCTTTTTCAAAAATAGAGGAAAGATTCTTCTCGGAAGAGCTTCAAAAAAGCAGACCAAGTGAGCTTATTGTTCAAGACAAAGAAACCGAGGTGATGACAGAGCACGCCAACTTAAGATTAGTCGCCGCTATTGTCGGTATTAAATAGAAAACGATGATATTTTTCGGTCAATCTCTCGATGTTCTATTTTCGAAATAGAGTGCGTCGCACTAGACTCTTTTCCTCAAATTCTTAGGTGTTCCCTCCCTATGGGTATTTTAGGTGCAAGAATCATTATTTTATTTTGAAATCTGAACAAAGGCTTCGTTTAAGCTTGTATTCATCAAGAGATTTTTGAATTTAAATCGTTTGGCATGGAAAAAATATTCGCTGGAACTCTAAGGCAAGCACGTCTCTCAAGGCAGGGACCCCTCTCAAACCGAAGAAATATAACATAATAAGTGTCGGAAGGTTGCTTTTCTCCTACAAATCAGCTTTGTTTCGAACTTTCGGGAGATCATAACTCGAAAACGAAAAGGTGGATTAGTTAAGCAAAATCACGATGTTAGGATATGGATTACAACAGCAGTAAAGGTTAATGGATGATATCCAAATGATATTCTCGATCACCAGAAAGATAGCAGTTCGAAAAGGGGTGTTCTATTCAGTTCTTTCATCTACAATCAAATCTGATACTTTCATCGATGATCAGTGATCGTGATGATATACTGAAAGCTTGCTTCTCAATGCGAAGGTTTAATGGAGCTCAGAAGAACGGTGGAGCTTTCTGACAAAAATTTCAAAAGCCAAAAGAGCAAATAATCTGAGTCGAATCGTTGTTCCGGCGGACTGAGGCCAATTTTAATTTCTGTAACCTTGGAGGAGAGTAAAATTGATCGTGCTTAACATTTTCGATCTGACTTGGATAGCATATCGCAGTTTTAAGCAGTTTCGTATTTCATATTTTGGTAGTTTTTTTCGCCATATATCTGTTCAACAAAGAAATCCATTCCAACACCAACTCAGTTCAGAAAATTCATCTCCAACTCAAGGTCACTAGACTACAATGTGTCGAATTGAATCCAAAATTGAGTGCTTGATGAAGATATGTTGTTGGGTAATCATCTACGGCGTGTTTTTCCATTCGTGACAAACAGAAGAGTTAAATCATCGTGACTAAGTTTGTGAATATAGTCACAGTGCAAAGTATCAAGTCATAATCGAAGTGCTTTCGATACTTAAATGTTTTTACTTCTCTTTTTTGTGCATTATTCACCTCTTGAGAGAAAGTTGCAACACAACTTGAGTCATGGATCTCGGTTGATGGTTTACGCCTGGTTCCTGCACGGTTTTATCATTACTTCTTCAATAATTGTAGAAATTGGGTCAGCTTTGTGTCAAAAATATTTGAATACATAGATAACGCGATAATTGAGAATAGCAGTGGTTTTGATCACGATGCATCTTCAAGAAACTTGGGTACTTTTACAATTCAAATGATCGATCCTCTGTGTTTGTAAATTTTTTTGCTGGAATTTCATTGAATTTTGCACTTGATATTGTTTGTCGGAGCGATCGAAGTTGAAGAGTTTGACTCACATTTTGTACTGTCTGGCGAATCATTGCAATGGATCAGAGGATTGGTGATTTTTTTTTAAAACGTTTGGCAAAATTTGGATGGTAATGCTTCTGGCAGTTTCAGGAAGTAAAAGGAATGAAGCTCAACGATCGTTTAGTACGAGAAAGAATACTTCATATTTTTGTCAGTAGAGATTTATTCATTGAGATCTGCCCTTAATGGCCAGTAACTCTTTGCTTGATAGTCCTAAACCGGCCGCTCTTTGGTGGTTCAAAGTTTTAAAAACACCAATTTAGAATAAACATTATTCTATACCACAGAGGACAGAAGCTTTTGCAGAATCACTCAGAATGGTTTTGGATGGTTTTGTATTAGTCACAGTAATGGTGGACAAAGTAGATGGAGTAAGTACAACAGTATTTGTAGTAAGAATAATATCTTCATGATGGGACATGTCTCTCTATATATGATATAGGGGAGCAACTGTTTGTCCTTAGTTCTTGCAGTAAGTAAATCCTCTGAACTCCAATTTCCCCACCAGTCTCTGTAAGTAGTAGTGTTACATCATGTGTAAATCACATTTGCTTGATTTATCTGGCAGAATTTTTTGCACAAAAGGCAGTTATAGTTCTGGTTTTGTTTGTGCCTCTTCTACCTCATGAGGTGGCATATAATGTTGAAGTTGTACAATGAAGGAATCGCTTTGCTATTGACAGGCAGGAGAACAAAAAGTATTAAGATCTAGATGTACATTGAAAGTATTCTTTAGGTCTCCTACTAGTGTATCATACTGTTGAAAGCTTGGTTCCAAATTGTCATTGTCACCATATATTAATTTTGGATTGTGCACAAGGTTAATAAGAATCAATTTAGTAATGGAATGAAAAATTTCTCATCAGTTATCTTTATTTCATCATCCATATTGACCACAATGTGCTTGGTAGCCTCCATTCCGGCCAACCCAGCCGTACATTAGCAATGCTGGATATACCTACATGTATATCGATCAATATTCATCGGACGGCCTTCTCCCCCAACGCATGAGAAAGCTATTTGAATTCTCTTTTAACCATATGCTTACCATACTTAAGCGTCTCTTGGGGGAAAAGCTATGGCTGTTCGAGTGAGTTGAACCTCTCTTAATGCCCTACATGTTTTTTGTACTGTGGGTCAATTTTGGGCTATCTTTTTACCGTGTAATGACTTAAGGCATTAAAAATTTGCATGTGTTTGAAGCCAAAATTGTTGGTTGAGCACGTGCGCGCAAAACTATTTGGTCGCACACTTGTGGGACTCAAAGATTCAGCATGTGCCCCGCTGTAAACTGCAGTACACACCCTTTTTTAGTCAAAGTAGTAGTCATTACAGGGGAAAAAGATAGCCAAAAACAATGACTGGGTCGTACGTCTTGCTGCCAACACTATATGATAACTGTGGCCATTCAAAAATTGACAATTTAATCATACATTTTTATTGCTTAATATACATACACACATATACTGTTTAATAAATCAATACCCCCCGCAACTCCCCCACACGGCCATCTTCCTCTCTTTATTAGGATCACAATGGTCTACTTATCACTATTCAGTGTCTATTGGGGACCAAGATACATGATCTGTTAGAGTGAGTTGACCCTTAGTTAACATTCTATGTGTTTTTCTACTGTGTGTCAATTTTGGTCTATCTTTTTACCTTGTAGTGACTAGTTAGACTCAACACATTCTAGTCCCACAACGGACACTTTGCACATGAACTGTTATTTTCAGCTCATTCACAAAATAACTTGTATTTTGGTTGTTAATTTGACTTTTTTCTTAGTATGCAAACAAAGACGACACTCCTCGTTGAAATCGCAAAGAACAAGCGCGTGCAACTCTTGAACACTAACAACAAAACCTTGACAAGGCTCTAAACTTCGTATCCAAGAGCACTCAACCCAACGCACTGGTTCTTTACATCAATTGGTCACCCTTCTACATCGACGAAAGAGTAAAACCAAAAGACATTTACGACTTTGCTCTCTTCAGCGATACCCCATTTCCACCGCCTGACCTCACCAAGAAATCCCAGACTACGACTGGAACGCAAACTCCGGACCCCGCTGTTCTCAAACTTTGGCAACAAAACAACAAAATCTTGAAAAACACTGCTAACGCAATCAAGAATCTTGCACCAAAACCAAAAACGCCGGGGACCCCAACCAGCATCGATCCTTTCATCCCAATCAACTTCGACAATGGAGTCAACGTTCATTACAAGTTTAATAAAGAACCATACAAGTTCCATACCAGCAGCACTCTTGCCAAAATCTACAATAAAGCAGGAACCCCTGGATTCTGAAATTATGCTCGTGACACCCAACACTTATCATCAGGTTTCATCACTCACGATGGTTCCTATTTCGTCCTAGTCGACCTTGGACCACAAAGTGAAAAGAACTTCCATAACAACGTCAACAAAATGACAGGTGAAACGTCCTATGAACTCTACAATTGGTACACGTGCTTTACAACCCATTGTGCCCGTTATGGTAAATACTGCCACCCGTACCCTTGCTTCCGTTCCGAATGTACACATCCCGGAGGCTTCAGCATCGGCATGGATAACACTGATGACCTTAACTCAACGTTTGAAACGAAAATATCAACCAACTCCGGAGTTATATGGGATGTTCTTCACCAAGCATGTGCATCCCACGATAAGTTTCGTCACATTGTTKAACTGTACGACGGACACGGATACAAAGCATTGAAAGTAATCATCTGCCCAAATCATCCTTTTC